CGTAGGAGGAAGCACTTCTCCATTTATTGTTTTTTCTTTGTCTACCCTACCCCCACTTTGGTTTTTGGTCAGTTAAACATATAAGCATTTAAAATAGTTTGGTGTTGGAATTAAAGATCACAATTTTACTGTGAAATAATTTCTTTAGTACTTTCTGAAAGTTGTGGTGAACTTTTCCCAACATCATCAGTTTAGGGAGAAATTTGGGGCACCTTATACTAGAGAGTGATAGGGTGGGTGAGGAACAGGTGCTAATTGTGCAATCTAGACCAATAATCCTCAATAAGTTTTTTCCATCAGAATTATCTAATTTTTTCTTTAAAAAACTTCCTGAGACACCATTTCGAGACATTCTGATTTACCTGATCTAGGTGGGGTGTCAGCAATGATATTTTAATAAACTTCCAGGTGAACTCAACTGTGCAGTTAGGATTGCAAACACTGACCTGGAAAGAGTTCAGTAGATAATAGCCAGCCTGAGTCTCGTGAATCTAGATGTAACCAGGCAGTGTCTAAAATTGCCCTATTGATATGGTCCTCTTTGTCTAAGAGTCTGGGACCAGGTCTCCAGAATCTCAGTAAATTGAAAAGGGCTTGTCACTCTTAGGAGACTATGAAATTCATTTCTTTTTTTTTTTATTTTATAAGCGTGTTAGATGTATGCATAATAGTTGGTTTCACTTTGGTTTTGTTTCTTGAAGTTTTTGATTATTTTGATTATTTTTTTCCATGTTAGGCATATTGATTTTTATGTGTCTTGGAGAGGTTCTGCTTTGAACTTTTTTTGGGGGGTCCGATATGACTCCTGTATGCAAATGTCTCTCTTGTTTCTAATATAGGGAGATTTTTGTGTTACAGTCTTACTGAAGATATTCTTCATGTCTTTATCCTGTATCTCGCTGTTCTCTTCTATCCCACTGTCTCTAAGTTTTGTTCTTTTGATGCTGTCACAGAGTTCTTGTGTATTCTGATCTTTGTCTTCTTTATCCCTTTATTACATAGTGAGTATTCAAATTGATGTACCTTGTCTTCAAGTCCTGAAGTTCTATTTTCTATGTTACATAATGAATTAGTGATGTTTTCACAGGAAATTTTAATTTGAGTCATTATGTCTTTCATTTCCAGGAATTCTGATAAGTTTCTTTTCAGTATCTCTATTTCTTCATTGAAATGGTCTTTCATTTCCTGTGTCTGCTCTCTTAATCTGTTCCTTAGATTTTTGTTTAGTTCCTTGAACATTTTAATAGTTTTATATAGTCTTTCCCTGAAATTTCATCCACTTTTATACCTGTGAGTTCCTTTGTTAGGGGATTGTGAATTTGGGAGAGATACTTGTTTGCTTGTTTTCTCATGTTTTCAGAGGTCTTAGAATTGTGCATCTGTTGAGGTGCATTTACTTTTCTCTTTTATATGCACATCCTTTTGTGCATATTTATTTATTTATTTATTTACTTTTATTAAGCAAATCCTCTGTTTTTGATATATGAATAGATATGCAAAAGTGGAACCCGAGTTGACCATCTAGATGTTCCTCCTTGGGTCCTGGTTGGTGTTTTCTTTTCCCCTATTCTATGTGTTGAAGTATTATTAAGTCTCAGGTGGGGCTACATCATGTGTGGGATGAAATTTACTTTTACTGGACTGAGTTGTGAGTATTGCTTGGTAGCAGAAACATAACACTACCCCCTCTGTGGTAATAGTGAGATTAGCATTTAATATCAGCATCAACAATAACAAACATGAACTAGATCAGGCATTAAATAGTGGGTGTCTACTATGTCATTCACCATATCAGTAATTATAACAACATATAGGAATCATGTAACTATATAATTATATAAGATACTGGAATTACAGAGTCTAAGAGAAAATTGGATAGGAAGGTAAGAGAAAGTGAAAATGCGAACCGAGGAAAGGCAGGAGATGATGGCTATAAAAAGGAGTAAAAAGGATAAAAGTAATAGAATGACAAAAGAGAGGAAAAAGGAACAGGAAAATTTGGCTGTTAGTGGGAGAGGAGAGTGGAGAGAGGCAATAAAAGGAAGAAAATCTGAGGCACAAACAAACCTAAAATCAAAACAAACCAAAGCCATGTATAATTTTACTCCACCTACATCAAGCCAAGGCTAAATCATAAAGGGATGCAGAAAAAAGCAATCAAAATCAAAGTAAAATCATAGGAATATATCTGTATGTTTTCAAACCTATCTGCACAATGCTAATGCCACACACATGCACATGCACAATCTCACAGAATGGAAAAAAGTAAATAAAGTTTGAAAAAAAAATAAGAATAAAAAGGGTAAAAAGGGGGGATACAAAAAATAATTTTTTCTGTAAACCAGGGATTGAACCCAGGGCTTTAACTATACCCAGTGATTAAAAACTCTGAATGAGAAATAAAGGGCTTGTTTCTGCTGAGGTGGTGAAAATTGTTGACAGTGATGGATTGTCCTTCTTTCTATTTATTTTTAGTCTCTGAAACCCTTGGGTCAAAGCCTGGGGTTTGTTAAATCCAAGTCTTCCTGTTCCTCACCTAACTGCCAACCACCATGTCTAAGAGGCAAATCAGGTCCTGTATCTCTCAGCTTCCTATCTCCCAGTATAGGGTGGAATCAGCTGAGGAATGAATATGTTTTGTACTCCCATAGGGGGACTGGTGCAGAGTTCTAAATTGGAAGTTATAGTAGTTGGAATTTAGTCTTGGCTGAACTTTGGAACTCTGTAGGCAGGTATCTGAGATTTTGATCCACACTCCTGTAGCTAGCTGAGGAGATGATTATCTCTGGTGGATGTCTAGGTCTCGGGGATCTCCTATAATTTCTACCTTTAGAATGCATGGTGTACATAGGTTTCGTAGTCACTGCTATGCATGTGAATTACCCAGAATCAGATCTGACATGCAGATGCTCCTATTTGGCCATTATTGGCATTTTCCCAATAGTTCTTATGAGACACCAGAAACAAAGAGAACTGTCTCTCCTTAGTATCTGGAGCCTGGATACCCTAGGCACAAATCTCTTTAGGCCTTTTTCAATCATACTGGCCCAGGTACACCATCAGTGTATTTTATAAGTTCCTGATCTACTGTCTCTACTGCTGGTCACTCAGTGCTTTTAAATGGTTCCCAATGGTTCCCTGTGGGCCTGCAGATTCTGGTTGTCTTCACTCAAAAATTTCCTTCATTAAATCTGGGTCCATTAAGATCAAGCTCCTTCTGTATTCCATGGGTTCCTCCAAGCCAATTTGTTTATCTGCCACACTTTTCTCTCTCTGCTTGTGCTCCACACCATTTAGTAGCCACAGCTGCTACACCACTGCATTCAAGCTGGTGCACCTCTAATGTATTGTTTCTTGCGTTATATTTGGAGTTTCTGACTTTCTGTGTCTGTATGGTTTCCTTTACTGTCCAGTTTTGAGTTTCAGTGAGTTCCCTTAGTTACCTACCTCACTGAGGAAATTGTCCTTCTTTCTATTTATTTTTAGTCTCTGAAACCTTTGGGTCAAAGCCTGGGGTTTGTTAAATCCAAGTCTTCCTGTTCCTCACCTAACTGTCAATCATAACTAAAATTTAGAACTAAGGAACAGCTGGGGAAGTCCAACCTTCCCCTAATCTGCCATCTTCTTCTCCATGTATTTTGTGAAACAACTATCCTGATACAAATCTGTGAACATGAATAACCAATAAGTTTGGTTCATTGTACCCACTCCATTGGGGTTCTTATGGCATTCACATTTTTCCTTCCAGGAGTCTGAAAATTTACCTTTCAATCATAATTAAATCCCTGAATTGCTAATGAGCGCCCCTGGGCTGAAACATTGTATAGTTTGCTTCATTTGGGGTTTTTGGTAAAGACTGATAGAAAACATAAGAAAACCTGCACATGGAGACCTTCAAAATCTGCTTGTATTATCCCCTTATGGTCTAGCTATGTATACTTAACTATTTTTACTATAATAAATGTAAGGGAGGAGCACAATTATGTACTAGTGATTATCAGTCCTTCTAGAGAATCTCTAAAAGTGGGGTGGTATTGGGAGTCCCAGGAAAGCATGGCCTCTGGGAAAGAAGAGACAATATGGATCTAGGGGTTTGAGGAGGAATTGAGGGGTAGTAGAAATCAGGGTGTAGTGGTAAATAGTAGAGCTGTATTTTAATTTTAATAATTGTACCACAAAATTTCATTTTATAGTATTCAAAGTACACAAAAAGAGCATGATTTCCTATTATTATTACATAAAACTTTTTTTTGAGGCTGGGGTGGTGGCCCAGTGGTAGAGCACTTACCTAGCATGTGTGAGACACTGGGTCAATTCTCAGCATCGCATATAAATAAATAAAATAAAGGCCCATTGACAACTCAAAAATATTGGAAAAAAATTCTTTTTAAAAAAATTATTTGGGGAGGCATAGAACTTGACAGGTAAGAGTTTGTAGGGGAAAAAATGAGCAGAATATAAAACTTTATGCTAAACAATTTCTAAAAATTGACAAATGCTATGTAAGCTAGTCCTTAAAACTCCCAGCAACAGAGATGGAGTTTCCACTTTAAAAAAAGGAAAAAATACAAATATCATTATGCTTTTATGTCTCTGTGTGGGGGCAGGTACTGGGGATTGGCCCCAGGGCCTCACACATGCTAGACAAGCACAACACTACCTCTGCTTTATTTCCTTAGCCTGGGTTTTTATTTTATTTTCAGTCAGTTCTCACTAAATTGCTCAGGCTAATCCTACACTTGTGATCTTACATATTTAACGTTCCAAATTGCTGGAATTAGAGGTATGCACCAGTGTAATTCATGTTGAAATGTCTTTTAAAGTTCACAATTTTAGAAGTGCTACAAAAAGTAAGGCAGAAATATTAAGATAATATTTGGGGAAAAAAAACAGGCAATTTCAACCTTTTGAAAAAACAAATTTAAAAAGTCAAAAAGATAAAATAAGTTAGACTACATGTAATAAATAGAATGAAAACCAGGGTTTTTATTTCAGGTTAATAAAGTTTATTAAAAATAGTAAGAAACAAAATAATGCATAAAAATCAATAAGCTAGGGCAAATAACAGCTTCACTCTGTTGAAGGAGATAAGTAGGTTTGCAGAATTAACATCACATTATCTCACTCATCCTGAAGCTAAACACGAGGTAGAGAACTAGGAATGTTAAATCAATATGGGGCCACCAGATTTCAGTTCATCAACAAATGTCATCAGAAGTTTGAGGTGTAATTTAGTGTTTTGGCATAAGGGCATGGGATTCAGGGATGGTGAATCATGACATCATCTGTGTGGCAGATGACACTCCCACAATCTCCTCAATAGTAGTATCCAAAGCCTGATCCACATCCATAACCACAGCCACAGAGGGAGCGGGAGCCATATCCATAGCCACAGCCATAGCCACAGCCCAGTCTGCGGAAGCCACAGCCATAGCCACAGCCCAGGCCTCCATAGCCATAGCCCAGGCCTCTGTAGCCATAGCCCAGGCCACCATAGCCACAGCCCAGGCCTCCATAGCCACAGCATCCATAGCCACGGCCACCATAGTAGTTTCCGTAGTAGCTGCCACACATGGTGTTGGTTGTTGAGGTTGTCCTTGGGTAGAGAAGGAGTGTGGGTAACTTGAGTCTGGACATTTCTCCCTGTAGAAGGCCTTTTATATGCCTTCAATGTGGGTGGGACCCACAACAGGCACGTTATGTCATTGGCTAATTTTATGACTGATCTCATTAGTTTGTTGTTTTGCAATCACATGATCAAGCCTCAGAGTTACTAAGGAAGCTTGTTTGTTTTATTTTTTATATTTTGAGTAGTTTTGCTCTGAAAGAATTCAATGCTAATAATGAGACAGTCGTACAAAACCCTGCATTATACCACATATTAATTTGGGCTTCAATTAATATGCAGTATTTCTAAATGTACCATTTCAGAAAACCAACTTTGATTTGCTCTTGGTGCAAAATAAAATCTATACTCTACTCATTCCACAGCTAAAAGTAATTACTTTTAAACCAAAGCATTTTGCCTATATTTTTTAAAAAATTATTTATCATCTTCACTGTTTCAGCACTCTCTCTACCTGAAAGGAATGCAGCATAGAAAATTTTAATGTTATTAACCTCTGTATAAAAATAAGAGCCAGCGTTCAAAAATTTTGTGACTAACTAGCCTAAGCCAAGTGCATCTCTACATTTTTGTTTTTATTAACACAACTTGCTTAATCTGCATATGTCTAATTCTTCTTCAGGGCAGTAAAAATAGATCCATCTATGGATTTCAAGTTTTCTTCTTCTATCACCAGAAATAATAAACATGATGATGATGATAAAATAATAAAAATGTATTCAATTTTATTAAGACTTCTAAACATTGCAATTTTTTTCTTTTGTTTTTTTGGTGCTGGAAATTTAACACAGGAATGATTTCTCACTGAGCTATATCCCAAGCCCTTTTTGTTTATTGTCAAAACATTTTTTTGATATATAGTCTCATTAGTTTGTTTAGGACCTTGTTAAATTGCTGAAGCTAATCTTGATCTTGTCATCCTCTGTCTCAACCTTCTGGGTCACTGGGATTATAGGTATGTGCCACCATGCCTGGTTCCATTGCCATTATTAATAGATAACATTTTGTAACTTCTTAGAAGTTTAAGAATATGTGCCAGTTATGTGCTTATGAGCTTTAATCTATTTGAAATACTGTTGTTTCCCAAGACTGATTTAATTAAATTCCCCTCTAATCAACAGAAGAATCTGTTGAGAGTTTGGGATGTAATCAGTCACTATTCTAAGAGGTATTTTATTTCCTTCAAATATTTGATTTTACCAATCTATTAGATGAACATAAATTCCTTTGTAAAGACATAAAATGAAAAATCAGAAGTCTACTTTTAATCAATTATATGGAACTCTCTTGAATAACCATTAAAATATTTTAAGATTTCATTATTTCCAGTCTGATTACCCAGGCTCTTAAGACACACAGCAAAATGAAGTGAAACTTGTTATTGTCTAAAACACCCACCCTTTGGGAACATGCAAGGAGGTGTGATTATACAAACATTTACAAAATCAACCTCCCAAAGTGTGACACCCCAGTGATGCTTTGTATTCTTCATATGACTTCCAAGCCGAGTCAAAGAGATAGAGTTGGCACATGAAGCCATGGAGAGGGTTCAGGACAAGGACCCCTATGCACTTTAGCTGACCCTCCTTTGATGTTACTCACAATATTTTCATCCCACTCAGTTCATCTGCCTTGACAGTAATTCTTATTAGTCAAGAAAAAAACAGCCTCTTTATATAACAGAGCGTTTTTTTCTATTAATGATTAAATTAAATACCATAATTTTCCATGAATTTTAATGTATATTTTTAACCTTTATTTTACTAATGATCATTAGTTGAAATAATATTGTAGCTATTTTTTTAAGTCTTAAAAGTCTTATTTGTTATATAAATTTGTGGACCAGCAAAAGATACGACTAGTTAATGAACAAAATAATCATCAGGCAAGTCATTTTAATACTGGGTAAAACATCTGTAGTAGTCTGTAATATAACTCAAGCTTCCCATTATAAATATTTATGAGAACTATTCTCTTAGAATTTCTTTTCAGGAATGATTCATCTCTTATGAAGAACTGATATTTGTTTTCATAATCTATGAGTCTTTAGACACCATGGAACTATTTTTTTTTTAATGGTGAAATTAATTTTGTGAGCAGGTTTAGGGTTTCAGTAGAGTTGAGAATAAAGTCTAGAATTCCAATAGAGCCCTGTCTCCCCTCACTGTGGACATTGTCACCAGATCAGTGCATCTATGACAGATGAAACTTTGCTGACACATTCTTATCACCGGAGTCTGCAGTTCACGTTTAATGTTCATTCTTGGTTGTTGTACTTTCTTTAGGTTTTGACGAATGCTTAATGACATGCACCCACCATTATAGTAATGTGAAAAACAATTTCACTGCCTTAAAAATCCTCGTTCTACCTGTTAAGCTGTGTTGGCCTTCTATTTTGTAAAGAGGGTTTGTCTACTCTGATGCTCTGAAATACAATTAATGCTTCCATACAATGTAATTAATGAACGCTAAACAAACTGCAAGCAAACATTTCTCCAACTTACTCCCTTTAGTTTCCCAAAGTACTTTCTTAATAAATTATCCTTTTTAACAGACAATTTTGCAAATGTATGCCTAAGACGGCTGCTTCCACCTTCTTTTTTAACACAGTTTGTCTCAATCGTCCAAACCATTAACCAACCCACTGCTCCACTGAAAGTGCCCCCGTCAATTGTTGCCTGATGGAAGTACAGTTCATTTCTCTGTATTCATAAAAATGAAGCTCTGAAACAAAATTTAGGTCAGTTGGATTTCCTCTTCTTTCTTGACAGACTCTTTCTTTTGTTATCCTTTTCATTTGACTCTCTTCTTTTACTTCCAATTTTCTCTTTTCAGGATTTAAAAAAAAAAAATCTTTCCCACCACTTGACCTCATTGTCAAAACTGTGTTCATGGCCTTCCTACATCTTCATGCTTTTTTAAAATATATTCAACTGTCTAGTTGATAATTTTATTTTTTTCTTTAATAGCCATCAGAAATTTGACATCACCAAAACAAGAGTCCATGATTCTCATGATGGCACATGTCTCTTTTTCCCACAGCACAACAAAATCACACCACAGTCTCCCCCTGGAAGTGTATTCTTCATAGATTTCCATTACATGAGGAACAAATGTCATCCAATGCTCTGTCACATCTCTCTGACAACATCTCCTACTACTTCCCTTCCAGTTTACCATGCTTCAAACATGGTGGGTCTCTAGCACCTCAGAGAAACCAAGATCTTCCCTTTGAAGACTTTTGCCTTTGTACTGAGGATCCCTCTTTCTGAAAATAGTTGCAGGAATTTCTGAATTCTAATTCACATTCTGGTATCACAGAACCATGTTTATAATCTCTGACCTCCATATTTAATATTGGCTCCTCCATATTAATGATGAAAAATTATTCAACTAATTGGTTTATATGATTTTATGAATTCTCATCACTTTCAGAAATTACTTCATTAAATTCTGAATTTCCTTGTCTTACATTGCCCGTCATCCCCCAGAATCATGAGAATAGGCACCTTAATGACTTTTTAATTTCTACATCCCATATGCTTAAAATGAAGTGTTAATAATATAGTTATAAATAATACGTAAAAAAACTGAAAAAATAAAATGTGGAGTAGTTTGTTTAAATTGAGATTGATAACAGAATAAATATCTCCTTTCTATGTGTAAGGTTAATGAAGACAGAGTTTCTAGGGTTTTTTAAAATCTAAGCAAAAGTTTGGAATTCCATGTGTGCTTTATTTATTTATTTACCTTTATTTATAAAGGTAGTCCATGTCAAGTAAAGATTAAGAATTATCCTTGTAACGTTATATATCTTTCTGATTATATATTCCTCTGTTTCCTTTTGTTGTATTTCTTTAACTTCAAAATATTCTTGGAATTTGGAAGCTAAACATGTGGAATTAATTACATTATTAGATAAAATGCATGAATTCCTATTTTGTACTACGTGCAAAAATATGAATGAAGTTTAAGATATGCATTAACCTGCGTTCAAACAAATTCATTACCTTTGGTGAGTCAAATATTATAGTCTGTAAGATTAGGCAGCTAGAAATAAAGGTCTTGGTGTATTCAGGAAAATCTAAGATTTCATAAGAAATAGATTCACAAAAAATATTGTCATTAAGACATTAATGTCCTCAGGATTTTGATAGGCATCATAGAATTTAAATACTCTGAAACCTTTTGAAGTAATTTGAAATAAACATAAAAATACCATGAATGTGGAACATAACATATTCTTGAACAAAGGGCTATATAGTCTATATTCTAAGCAAGTAAAGCTGATTCTCAAACTGTCTCTGTGCTTATCTAGGATTTCAACCTCAAATGCAAAGCTTTTGCAAATACAAAAGGAACACATGAAATAAAAGGCTCTAACACAGAAGAAGTAGGGTTTTAACATCTATGATTCTATGTGAAATACAATTCAACAAGAAATTCTTTTTCACATAAAAATAAAACACCATATTAAACATAAAATAGACCCATCTGTATTCACTCAATTTATCCTGTCTTTATGACTCTTCCTCCACCTCCTATTGATGGTCTCCTACATCTCCCCATGCCATTTTTTGATTTCTCATCAAGATAAAATAAGTATTAAATCAACCCTACTACTACTACTACTAATAATAATAATAAATAGAATGAGTTTTTGCACTTTTTATAAGTTCTCATGAGACTGAGTTCACAAGTAAGCAAACACTGTATATTTAGAAAACAAGTTTTGTATTTAAGGCACCTGACTACATTATTAGCATCCTGACTCCACAACAGAGTCCCTGGTATATGGGTTATGAGGAATGAATTCTTGAAATTTTTCTTATGGTTAACTAGTTTGGAAATGAGTCCAGCCTATCTGGCTTTTTCACATACTGTTCAGGTTATGAAATTCAAAACCAAGGGATTGGTTCAAGTCCTCAACTAGACCTTTCATTTCTGGTACCATAGGCTGTTATGGCATTGACTGTGGCAGCCTGAGGCTCCCGAGACCTGGGTTGTGGCT